CTCTCAGGTGTTGCAGTACAGCCTGGTTAGAAGGCGTAGAGATATACAACGCCTGGTATTCAGGGAACAGAAAGAGGAGGAAGATATAGAGAGACGAGAAAGTGAGCAATGAAGAAAAAGAAAAAGGGAAAAAGAGGAAAAAGAAAACAAAACAAATGAAACAACAAACAAACAAGAACGGCCCCCAAAGAAACAGTAAAAAACCAACGTAAAAAGAAATGTCCTCAGGGATCCCTCTGCACATCTGTGGAAGCCGAAGGGGAGTCTCCCGGCCACGCAACTCAGCCTGGCCAGAAAGGGCTCCCGACTCAAGAAAAGGAAAAGAAAACAAACAAACAATTCAAAACAAACAAACAAAGAAAAGCCCCGGGATCCCACCATCCCAGCAGCCCAAACCGGGAAGCAGCTCCACACTCAAATGGAGCTCTGCAGTCCCTCAGGAAGAAGCAAAGATGGCGCATGGAGCCAGGTACTTGAGCGAAGGGAGGGGGAGGTGGTGAGAGGCAAGTAAGACAACAAAAGAAGCAGAAGGAAAAAAAAAAGCAACACTAGCAGCCAACAAATGGCACTCAGAGAGCCAGCTAGTGCGGGCTGGTGTTTCTGGACAAGAGACTGTGTCCGTGGGAAACAGAGAGGGCCAAGTGTGGGTGAAGAAGGGTAGAGAGTGGGAAAGCATATATCACAAATTACCGGAGCTCTCCAGCCCCTCAGGAAGAAGCAAAGATGGTGCACGGAACGAGGTACTCGGGGGAAAGGAGGGGGAGGTGGGGAGAAGCAAGGAAGAAATAAAAAGAAACAGAACAAAATTAACACCAGCAGCCAACAAATGGCACTCAGAGAGCCACCCGTTTGGGTGTGTGGAATCCAAGCAGCCACTGTTTCCCGGACAAGAGACTGGGCCGCAGGAAGCAGAGGAGGTCGAGTCAGGGTGAAGAAGGGTTGGGGGTGGGAAAGCGTATATTGCCAATTACCGGTTGTTTCGTTTCCCGCTGGAAGCTCCGTGAGGCTGCTTTCTTGTACCCCCCGTTTGCTGGTCTCCGATAGGAGTCCAAGATGGTGGATCCGCGCTGCGCTAGCTGGTAGGGGACCTCTGCATGAATCTCTCCTCGCTCTCTGTTCTCTGTCAGTTTTCTCACTCCATTTGGTGCTTGGCTGAGTTCTTTATCTCTTCATTTGATGTTCTGGGGTTTCAGGATTGTTGTATTCTCCGTTCGGCTTAGTTTTTCGGATCTTTGCTGTGGAGGGATGGCGTGGTGCCTCTGCCCAGAGTGCCATTCTGCCAGAACTGAGAACATTTTCTTAATAAACTTTGTTATGTCAATTGACCTAGATGTCCCCTGAAAGCATGGTCCCCAGACCCCCGCCCCGGCTACTCTGTCCCTCGAAGTGTTTGGTTATGTTCAGGAAACTTCTTAGCTGTTGCTTTGGTCTGGTTGTGCTGACTTCCCCTGTATTGTGTGTTGTCCTTTCCTTCACCTAAGATGATTCTTGTCCACTATCTAGTTAGTGAATTCCCCCTCCCACCCTCCCCACCCTCGTAACCATGAAAGAATGTTTTCTTCTGTGTTTAAACCTGTTCTTGAGTTCTTATAATAGTGGTCTCATATAATATTTGTCCTTTTGCAACTGACTAATTTCAGTCAGCATAACGCCCTCCAGATTCATCCATGTTGTGAGATGTTTCACGGATTCATCATGGTTCTTTATCGTTGTGTAGTATTCCATTGTGTGTATGTACCATAATTTGTTTATTCATTCGTCTGTTGATGGGCATCTAGGTTGTTTCCACTTTTTGGCTATTGTGAACAGTGCTGCAATGAACATGGGTGTGCATATACCTATTAGTGTGAGGGCTCTTATTTCTGTAGGATATATTACAAGGAGTGGGATTGCTGGATCGTATAGTATTTCTATTTCTAGCTTTTTAAGGAAGTGTCAAATTGTTTTCCAAAGTGTTGTACCATTTTACATTCCCACCAACAGTATATAAGTGTTCCAACCTCTCTACAACCTCTCCAACATTTATTATTTTGTGTTTTTTGGGTTAGTGCCAGCCTTGTGGTGAGATGGTATCTCATTGTAGTTTTGATTTGCATTTCTCTAATGGCTAATGATGGTGAGCATTTCCTCATGTATCTGTTAGCCACCTGAATGTCTTCTTTGGTGAAGTGTCTGTTTATATCCTTTGCCCATTTTTTAACTGTGTTATTTGGCTTTTTGTTGTTGAGGTGTTGCAGTATCTTGTAGATTTTAGAGATTAGACCCTTATCGGATGTGTTGTAGCCAATTTTTTTTCCCCAATCTGTAGGCTGTCTTTTTACTCTTTGGGTGAAGTCTTTTGATGAGCGTGTTTGATTTTTAGGAGCTCCGAGTTATCTAGTTTCTCTTCTGGTATTTGTGCATTGTTAGTTATGGTTTGTATTCTGTTTATGCCATGTATTAGGGCTCCTAGTGTTGTCTCTATTTTTTCTTCCGTGATCTTTACTGTTTTAGATTTTATATTTAGGTTTTTGATCCCTTTTGAGTTACTTTTTGTGCATGGTGTGAGGTATGGGACTTGTTTCATTTTTTTGCAGATGGATATCCAGTTATGCCAGCAGTATTTGTTTAAGAAACTGTCTTTTCCCCCTTTAACAGACTTTGGGCCTTTGTCAAATATCAGCTGTTCATAGGTGGATGAATTTATGTCTGGGTTTTCAATTCTGTTCCAGTGGTCTCTGTATCTGTTTTGACTACCGTGGTGGTATAATAGCTTCTAAAATCAGGTAGTGTGAGGCCTCCCACCTTGTTGTTCTTCTTCAGTAATCCTTATTTGGGGCCTCTATCAGCTTGTTTTTGACTTTTTTTTCATGTTAGAGGCTTGTTTTAAATGCCCAGTGGTCCTCTATTACCTATGTACGCTACTTTAGAGCGAGGCAGTTGGAAATTCTGAATGAGGCTCATCAACTGGTGGGCCTCACTGTAGTAGGACTGGTCAGGGCTATCCCATGTTTATTGAGGGAGCCCTAAACATCTACCTTTGCAGGTCTTTTTTTCTCCTAGGTTTGTCAGTTTTGTAGGTGGTGAATATGAAGCTTAAAAAAGCATTTGGGAGCCAACAGGCGAAAGGGATTAAAGAGGAGAAATCTTATCTTTCAGAATGCAGATATTTGCTTATGCCCTATGCTTTACGTAAGGTGGCTACCCAGATCCTCAACTACGCCCAGAGCCTCAGATCATCCTAATCCATTAGAACCACGAAGTTAAATAAATGTCATAAAGCTTTAGATAAAAGGGCAAGAACTTCTTGCTCCAGAGTTGCTGGATTACAAGAAAACAAAAAAAGTTCCTTCTCGTTTTCCACCCCTTCAAAAAAAAAAGCAAAAAGCAGTGCAAAAAGTGGGAAATTTGCCCAATTTAAGCCCCCTTTCCCCTTCCACTTCACCATGAGTTTTTCTCTGTGATAATGCCTCAGAACTCATTCAGGGTCCAAGTTTGTTTTAAAATAACCCCATGAGATGACAGACGGATCTCCTGGAATTCTGCAGCTTGTGCTTGAGTCCACAGATGGGAAATTGCTGTCAGTTAAAGGGTGGTGCTATTACCACAGCCCAATTTTTGAAAACTTTTAGAAAAATAAAATCATCTGAGTTAATTAGCATTCACCACAGGCACTAGTCTTGTGTTGCAGTATTCTAACAACTCAGATAATAAGAAAATAAGAAAACACAGTATTGCAGCTTCTAACTTTTAAACCAATGCTTTACCTCTTCAAAATGTAGATTTTAAAGGAAGAATTTTACCTGTTACAAGTATATGCTCTTATATGGCTGAACTCTAGCCTTAAATCATCATCAAATATGAATTATATTCTAAAATAAACTAAATACTAAGGGTCCCTTAAAATTAGAGTAATTTCATTTTACCTCTCCAATCTGCTTAATCCACAAATCTCTTCCAAGAAACTCCTGATGTAAGACTACGGGAGCTGAGTTTAGATTAAACGCCATGGAGTCACTTATCTTTTCTTTAATAAAAGGCTGGAGGTCGGAATTTATCTAGAAGGGGCAGTCAAAAGAGTTAAATCAGTGTAATGCATATACACTAATATGTGTTAGTCATCTTCAGAAAGCACTAGTTAATGCAGTGAAAATTGAACCTTAAGAAATGCAGTTTTTATACCTTAATAAGCAAAAGAACATTTCAGATGATTAATAATAACCTTTAACATTCTTTAAAATGACTTTTCCCAACACATTCCTTTTTTATTTGGCGATAGCTTTAATTCTATTTTTTAAGTTGAAAGTAAGGACTTAGATAAGGATTTAATAAATATAATTGTCTAATAAATTAAAATTTAAAAAATATGCAAAAACTTCATCTAGAGATTGTGTGTGTGTGTGTGTATCTCCTCTTATGAGTTAAGTAACATTTGAGAACCATATATTTAATGAGACTTTAAAATTACACATATAGAGAGGTAATAACACAGTACTTAATTTTGGGATATTTTATATTTCATTATGCCCATTCAAAAGAACCAGTTATTAGAATTAAAGCTTTCAATTTTATTCAGTATATTAATAAATTTCATTAACTTTCCACAATTTTGTTTTACATAAGTAACCATAAGGAACCTGTAACAAAAATGCAAATATTCTTCCCTTCTGTGAGCAGCAACATTACATATTATTTGATAATTTGCAAGAGTTTTCTCAAGAATCCTTTTGGTGGTAAGAAAAGACAAACATCAGAAACATGATTTAAGTAAGCTGTAGCTTTCTATCAAAATTATACAGTACTCACCAATCATACTGTTTATATTAAATAACAATCACCGTCGATGACTGAAAATTTTTAAGCACACAATAAACATTTTTTGAGATGTAAAAGCAGCTTGTTAAAGGGCAAAAGGTTTCTTGTGTATCATTTTAGCTATTTAAGTACTGGAAAAAGAGAAGGAGTATGCAAATACCTTATGACTCATGGCCATGTGTTTCCCATACTGAAATGCCATATCCTGAACCTCAGCATTATGTTTTGCTAATTCCATTGCAGCTTGGCAGCTCTTTGCTAGTAAGGCACCATGGGAGAGAAAAGTCTGTTCCTTCCAAATTGATATGCCAATATCATCCGTGATATGATTTTCCTAAAAACGCAATAAAAGCCAAGATAAAAGGGTTTTAGAGTAATATGTTTCTGTTTTTGAAGAGTAAAAAAGTTAAGAAATGAACTATTCAAAACACTCAGCTATTGCGATAAGACAGAACTAAAAGAGGCTGAGCTTCAGCTTCACCTAGAGAGAACTAGGAGGGAGGAGATTGCTTTTTTAGGGTAATGAAAACAAAACACTGAAGCAAATTTTAATTTTTGAGCTAGCGAGCCTTTATTAAAATGTATTCTAAAGAATATGGTAAAAAGTAAAAACTTGGACCTCCAAACTAACGTCCTTCGATATTCACATTAGTTCTTGAATATTGGTATTCCAAAACACAAAAAGGCTATAAGCTTTAACTTATGTGAAAATGTTAAGGGAATAATGAAGGAACTGGATTCTCTTATAATCAATTAAATAGAAATAAGTACTATAAAAATCAGAGAGGAGGTAACCCATTATAATGGAATGATTAGATTACATTATTTATCAAGGTTTATTCCTATATGAAGAAATAAGGTGATAAAGGAGGATATAATTGTAGTTTATCTGATTTCATTTTTTTAATTATGGAAATCATTGCAGAATCTGTATGTATACACACACCTGCCTCTAGACTAGTGCAGTCCAATAGAAATACAACGTAAGCCACATATGCAATTACAAATTTTCTAGTCATACTAAAAAAGTAAAAACAGGCTAAATTAATCTTAAGAATTTATTTTAGTTATCTCCTTATATCCAAAGTATTATCATTTCAACATATAATCAATATAAAGATTACTGTGTATTTATTTTACACTTGCAGCACATCATTAGCCACATTTCAAGTGTTCAGTAGCCACAAGGAGCTAGTGGCTACCTTATTGGTCAGCACTGCTTTAGACAGTGGGCTCTCTGAGGACAAGAATGATGAAGCAAACATATAAAACAATGTTCATTTTATGGTGTTTCTTTGAAACCTCAAATTAGCTAGAACTCATCCAGAAGGATAAATTAATCCCAAAACACATTACTTCCTATCCCCGTAGGATAATTCTCCTTCCACCATTATATTGAGGACAATATAAAAAATAATAAGAAAACAGGGACCATTAAAAGGTCAGCTCAGGTTTACCCCCATCTCTTCCATCATGCTGAGGGGAATCTTTAGTCCCTAGTAAGATCAAATTCTCAATTTAATTTCATTAAGCCTTTGGACAAAAGAAAGTTCCACTTAGAGCAAAGTTGCAAATATGCAACATAGCATTGCCTAATCATCAAAAGGAGTCCCTGGGTGGTGCAAATAGTTAACGTTGCAAACAGGAAAGTTGGAGATTCGAGTTCACCCGAGGTGCCTTGGAAGAAAGGCCTGGTAATTTACTTTTTAAAAAATCAGTCATTGAAAACCCTATGGAACACAGTTTTAACTCTCTGACGCATATGGAATCGGAAATTACCCGACAACTTTTTCTTTTTTTCAAAACAGCTAAATGAGAGAAACAAGTTGCATGAACTTAAGAAAAACTACAAAGCATTAGGCATAAATAAGAACATATTTAATTTAAAAACTTGAGAATGCATTTAAAAATAATGTGAAAGATTAATGTATCATATTAATAAGTCCTAGATGAAAACCATATAATCTCTCCACATATACTAAAGAGACATTTGACAAAATTCAACACCTATCCCTGATAGGAAAAAAATAAAAGGCCTGAAGAAAATAGAAATAGATGTGTATTTTTTTGACATGATAAGTGTGTGTTTGTGTGCATATGTGCATTTGTGTTTGTGTGTGTATGCCCAAAAGCCAGCAAATACTTTATGGGGGAAACACATGAGCCTTTCCCACTAAAGTCAGGACTAAGACAGAGAGGCCCACAATACCACTGTTACTTACCAATGTAATGAAAATCACGAGAAAGATAGAAATATAAAAATTAGAAAGAAGGCGTTTATCACTATTTGATGACAATATAACCATATACCTGGAAAAAACAAGAAACTCGACTAAAAAAAACAAAAACTTCTGCAAACAAGAAGATAACCAGTAAGTTAGCAGTGTGTAAAATTAATATAATTTATAATTAACATAATAAATGTATTATTAATCCATAGCTTTCATACATAAAAACAAATCAGAAAATATTATAATTAGGGTCTTTTCTTTGATTATATCTATAAAAAGAAAGATTAAAAAGCTTGGAATAAACTTAGAAATGTGCAAAACTGATATGAAGACAATGTTAAAACACTACTGAAGGAGACATGAGTAAACTTGAATTAATATAAAGACAAATCATGTTCAAAGATAGCAAGACCCAACCTCATACAGCTACTCCAATAAAACTAACAATGCCTTTCCCCCAAACCAGGCAAGCTGATTGTAAAGTTCTTGTGGAAAAAATAAACAATAGCTAGGAACACTGTGAGAAAGAGGAGTAGCATATGTGTCGGGGGGTGGTGTTGGGGTGGGGGGGGCGGAGAGGCAAAAGAGGGAGGGAATGATGTCTAGCCCTACCAGATATTATAACATACAATAAAGTCTCAGTAATTAAAACAACATGTATTTTTCAGACAGACAATGTAACAAAATAGAGAGCACAAAAAAGCAATCAAACTATATACAGAACTTTAGTATATTTTAGGGAAAAGCTGGACTTTCCAGAAAATGGAGTTGGCACTGAACAGCCATCTGGAAAACGTCTGATCTGCATTTTACACTATTTACCAGAATAAACTCCAAATGGCAAAAATAAAAGCAAAACAAACTAACCACCACAAAAACATAAGCAATGTTAGAAGACAAAGGACAATGAAGTAAAGTATTTTCATGTCACACCCAAATGGCTAATCTCCCTTTGGTAGACTAAATAATGGCTTGCAAAGATATCCACGTCCTAATCCAGGAAGCTGTGAACGTAACATTACCTGGCAAAAGGAATTTTGCACATGTGATTAAGTTAAGGATCTTCAGATGGAGCCCATCTCATGTTAACTTAATAACATCTACAAAGACCCTATTTCCAAATAAGGTCATATTCACAGGTACTCAAGTTTGGACTTGAGAATATCTTTCTAGAGGATACAATTCAACCCATAACACCACACAAAGGGATACTCTTCAGCAATAAAAAGGAAGGAACTACTGACACATGCTATGCCATGGATAAACCTCAAAAACATGCTAAATGAAAGAAGTCACTTTCCCTGGATAAACTTACCCTGGTAACACAAGAGACCACAAATTCTATGATTCCGTCTATATGAAAGGTAGATTAGCGGTTGCCTGGGGTTTGGGATAGGAACTGTAAATGGGCATGACAGACCTTATTGGATGTGTGTGTGCTTGTGTGAAAATGTTCTAAAACTGATTTATGATGATGGTTGTACACTTGGTAAATTTACTAAAAATCATTGAATTGTACACTTGAAAGGGGTAAACTTTATGATATGTAAAATATACCTCAATAAAGTCATTAAAAGAGAAAAAAGCTAGTGAGTATAACATTTTACACTTCTTGGTCTCAAATGCATTAACATTAAAAAAAAATTATATGACCCTGAATTAACTTTTTGTGGTTTGTGTAACATCCTCATTCTTCATACAACAAATATTTATGGGTCAGGTTCTTTCCTAAGCAATATAGACATGAATACCGGTACAGGCATAGGCACAGATATAGGTATAGGCATAGATATAGGTGGATACATAGCCTGTCCTCAAGAAGCACACAATCCAGGGACAGTGTGTATGTATATCTACATATAGATATAAATAATTGATAAATCAATATAGTTCTATTTCAGAATAATAATTGCAAGATCTTCAATTATCAAAGATTCTGTTTCATTCATTATAGTCTCCTTAATGTGATAAAGACATTTTATTATTCATCATCTCTACATTTTAAATTATGTAAGTAATACATGATCACTAAAAAAATTAGAAAGTTCAGATAACCAAGAAACAATTAATTTATAGTCCCCTGAAATCTACCACAATAAGTTAATCAGACCACAAGTTAATACTTCCGTTCCTAAATTAATAAAAAATTTTATTCCCTTAACATTAAGGTATTATCTATTGTGAACTTGTTTACAAACGAAAGAAAATTACCCCATTCCTTTCCATCAGCTTGCCATGTATATATTAAGAAAGCATTCTGTATTACAAAGAAAAGTTAATGTACAATTGTGAAATGCCAAGAAACTGATATGATAACTACAACTAAATTCAATACCTTTAGACATCAGAAAGATGTTTACCTGTGATTTATTGACTACGTAAAGACATTTAACTGTGTGGATCATAACAAATTATGGATAACATGGCGAAGAATGAGAATTCCAGAACACTTATTGTGCTCATGTGGAACCTGTATGTAGACCAAGAGACAGTCATTTGAACAGAACAAGGGGATACTGAGTGGTTTAAAATCAGAAAAGACATATGTCAGGGTTGCATCCTTTTGCCATACTTACTCAATCTGTATGCTAAGCAAATAATGTGAGAAGCTGGGCTATATGAAGAAGAACGTGGCATCAGGATTGGAGGAAGACTCATTTACAACGTGCAATATGTAGATGACACAACTTTGCTTGCTGAAAGTGAAGAGGCCTTGAAGCACTTACTGATAAAGATCAAAGATTACAGCCTTCAGTACGGATTGCACCTCAACATAAAGAAAACAAAAATCCTCACAACTGGACCAATAAGCAAGATTATGGTAAACGGAGAAAAGACTGAAGTTGTCAAGGATTTCATTTTACTTGGATCCACAATCAACGCTTACGGAAGCAGCAGTCAAGAAATCAAACGACATATTACATCGGGCAAACCTGCTGCAAAAGACCTCTTTAAAAGTGTTAAAAAGCAAAGATGTCACTTTGAGGACTAAGGTGCACCTGACCCAAGCCATGGTGTTTTCAATCACCTCATATGCATGGGGAAGCTGGACAATGAATATGGAAGACCAAAGAATTGATGCCTTTGAATTATGTGTTGGCAA